TGAGAGGTGATTAGCTATCCCTGATTATTTCTTGTCTGGAGTTTCCCTGTTTTTAGGTGTTGTTTTTTATTTACTTTTATGATTTTAGAGGGTTTTTTTAATACTGGTAGCCAGATTTTGTTCATTTTCATGGTTTCTTCCTTTCTGTTGAAATTGTTCACATGCTTGTAGATTTCAATGGCTTCATTAAAGGATAATAAAAGCGGCCAATTGAAACATTCACACCTACCTCCAACAGACAAGATTTCTTTCTCCAACTCTGGACATTCCACAGATATATAAACCCCATTTTCCTAGTTTCCAACCTCTGAGGATGCCTGCCATAGATGCAGGCGAAACGTCAGGAGAGAATGCTTCTGGAACATGGCCATACAGCCCAAAAAATTTACAACTACCCAGTTATTCCAGCCATGAAAGCCTTCAACAATATATTTTTAATTTGCTCAATTGCTTGATATGTTTTTGTTCAACATAACTATAACCAACAATATAATTTAGTTTGACCTATCTCCTTCCCTGAGAACTCGTGATAGAAGAAACAGAGAAAATGAGATCAAATAGAATAAATGTCTAATGGGTCCACTTTAGATAGGATTAGCAATTGGATTTAATCCAGGCCATGGAATCATGCAGCCTTCCAGATGTTGTTAGACTATAGTTTCCTAACCAGCATAATAATCAATGATAAAAATTGCTGGTAATTGTAACCCAACAACATCTGGAGAGCCATGTGATTCTCACTTTTAATTTAGATTTAAGCAAACCGTTTCAAAGCAGCAACAAAAGCTGCTATTTATGGAAATGTGGGAATTTATTCTGCAAGGCATCTTGGAAAGGTTACTCCTTTGGGCTACAACTCCCTAAAAATCTGTCAATCTGCTTCACTGCTTAAAAACTTTAAATACTTATTCCTCACTAAAAAAACAACAACAAAAAATAACAACAATCTTCAGTACAGTCTTTATTCTTCAGCTTGGGTGAACATTAAAAGCGGAGTCATTTGGCTTCTTTCATTTCTCTGAATTTTGACCTGATTAGGTAGTACTCCAGTGCACAACTGCCCTAGCAATAATGAGAAGGGTTGCTCCCAATTTAATCACTACATGACTGGACACACCACCAGCTACAGCAGAGCACCCATTCTGCAAGCAAAACTATGTTCTGAATCCATATAGCCTTTTTGTATTTCTTGTATCAGATTAAACTCCTGCTGTGATAAGATGCCCAAGCAGATTTGACTCCTGTTTCACACGTTTTGACTCTTGCTTGACATTAGCAAAGACATTATCTTGTGAGTACAGAACTTGAATTTTTCCATTCAACTTACTGTTTTTTTCCCCTGGTAAAGCATTCCAAAAGGCTGAAATTGGAAGCATTTACACTTTGAAAGGTCCTTGTTTGAGTCTGAATAGCGAACACATGCTTTTGGTGAAGTTGTTTCCAATGCCTTCTTTTGTCAGCTGGGCAGTGAATCTGCTTGAACTGAAATTTGAAAGAAACTCTCCAAGGTGCTGAACCTATTTTGAGACTAAGGTTCAGAACCATGAATAGCTCCTTTAAGGTGGAGTAGGCGGTTCATTGCTACACTGACATGTGAGCTAAGAGTTGCCAGCCATTCTTTATCCCAGAATAAATGTTCTCTCAGAATGCCATTGACAGAACTTGAAAGTAGCTGCTTACAAGTAACTATTTGTAATGAATTGTCAAAGGCTTTAATGGCTGGAATAACTGGTTGTGGCAGGTTTTTCGGGCTGTGTGGCCATGTTCTAGAAGCATTATCTCCTGACGTTTCTCCTGCCTCTATGGCAGGCATCCTTAGAGCTTGAGAGGTCTGTTGGAAATCAATTTGTAATTTGTAATGAATTTCTTTCTATAACAGTTAAATTTTCAAATGACAATTCTAATTTGATGAGACATAGCTTCATTCCTTTTACAATGGATCTGAAACTTTTAGGGTCATTTTTGTTATAGGGTATGATCTCTCTAAATGGTGGAGGAGAAATATTATATAGCTGGTTTGTGATAAGTTGTCCTCAGTTCTGCTGTTATGTGGAAATGATGGTAGATGGGAGGAGACTCTCTTTTGTATCAGAGGCTAGCATCCTGTAGCACTCGTATTAACACACACACACTCTCACACACACCAATGTTCCTTTCAATTACTTTCTAAGAAACTGTAACTTTGAAAAAACTATAACAGTAAATAGCGGCGTTTAAGTATAGTTCTTTAAATTCCACATTATGAGAAGTGTTCTGCTCAATCGAGCCAGATCTAGCACACAATGCCTGCTCTACCTCCCACCAACCTACTCAGGTCTTGCAGACTCAAGTCTTGAAGACTCTTGAAGACTCTGAAGACTTAAGTGACTGCTTTATACGAAGCCCTCATCTGAGCTAGATTTGCAGTGACAGTACTATCCTTGTTTCTAAGTATATGTTTGGAATACTCCATTAGAGCTAGCCTGGCGCTTCTGCATTCAGAATCAAACCATCTGTTAGTTCCCACCTTGTTGGGGTTTAGTTGTTTGCTACAGACCAGTTTGGGTCTGAGATTTTGAATGATGAATTGATAGGCATTTAAAGTGTCTGTATTAGAGTCTAGGATGTATTGTCGGCAAAATCTATAGGGGTTGCTCTTGAATATGTGCAGAATGGAGTTGCCTAGGTTGACTAACCATCTTATTCTCTGTTCTCCAACATGGGTTCCATTTAGATTTTGTGAATTTTGAGAGGATTGTGTTGGAGATGATGTTTCAAAATTAAATAGGAGTGACAGAGGAAAGTCCACTCGAGTGTTCGAGTGGATTTAAGTGACTGAGAAGGAAAAGGAAAAGGAGTTGTGGGAGATGAAGTCCAGAACACCTGGTGGGCCCAAGTTTGACCATGTCTGAGATATATTGAGCATGGTGATCAGATCATGATATGAATAAACATGGAGCTGCTCCATCCACCCTGTGACATGGATATGGAGAGAGGGAGGAGGAGCACATATGAGATAAGGGCCATCTGGACTGGGGGGAAATGAAACTGTAGGATAACAATGATGAGAATGGAATGTAGCCAGTAGGAAGGGGAATGGGTTAGGGGAATGATATACAAAGAAGTTGGTGGGAAATCTTCAGAACTGTCTTCCTATTGCCAATGGTAAGTCAGAAATAAAGCTGTATCCAAGGATTTGCCTTTGTGAGCGTGGTTTTATTCCAAGAGCTTCCAGGTTCTGACAGGTTGGAGGTAGAGAAGGCATGGGCCCTCATGTGTTTTGGACTTCAACTCCCACAATTCCCTCAGCCGCTCTATCTCCAGCCAAGACTTAGGTCTTGGAAACTCAAGTCTTGCACACTCTTGCAGACTTAAGTGGCTGAGTGGGGAAAGAAAAGGGCATGAGGCTGTTAGGAATTGTGGGAGTTGAAGTCCAAAACACCTGGAGGGCTGGAGTTTGCCCATGCCTGTGATAGAGTGACTTGGAAGTCTCTTATTCATGGAGTTACCATAATTTGTATTGGTGGCAAATAACAATAACAACAACAATGCTATTATCTCCATCCAAAGTATCCAGGTCTTGCAGACTCAAGACTATGGCTTCTTTGACTGATTTCATCTATGTGTAACATAGCTTTCCTCCTTTCCTACTGCCTTCTACCTTGTTGGTGGGTAGAAAAAGAGATTTAAAGATGGGCTCAAAGCCAACTTTAAAAACTCTGGCATAGACACTAAGAACTGGGAAGCCCTGGCCCTTGAGTGCTCCAGCTGGAGGTCAGCTGCGACTAGCAGTGCTGTAGAATTTAAAGAGGCACGAAAGGAGGGTGAAAGAGAGAAACACGCCAAGAGGTAGACACGTCAAGCCAACCCCAACTGAGACCGCCCTCCACCTGGAAACCAATGCCCTCACTGAGGGAGAAGATGCAGATCACCTATGGACCCACCACCAGTACACTGATCTTGGAAAACAATCCTACTCGGACGAGGGATCACCTAAGTAATTACCTTACCAAGTATTATTATAATTTTTAATCGAGCTATGTGCTCTCATGATATGACCGAGTCTCCGTTTAGTCACCTTGGCATCTAATTTTCAGCCTTGATTTGCTGTAGAACCCATAGATTTGTCTTTGTTGAAGTCCACGTAGCTTTCCTCTTTTCCCACTGTTTTCTACCTTACCAGGTATTATTATAATTTTCTATTGAGTTATGTCCTCTCATGATATGACCCAGTCTCCATTTAGTAACCTTGCCATCTAATTTTCAGTCTTGATTTGCTGTAGAACCCATAGACTTATCTTTTTTGAAGTCCTATTTTCCTCTTTTCCCACTGCTTTCTACCTTACCAAGTATTATTATAATTTTCTATTGAGTTATACCATCTCATGATATGCCCCAAACCCCACAGTCTCCGTTTAGTCACCTTGGCATCTAATTGATTTGCTGTAGGTCCCATTGATTTGCCTTTTCAAAAAAGACCACAGTCTCCCTAGGAGCATAATTCCCCATTTCCAAGGTGCACACACCCTTCTCTTTCACAACCCAGAAACACTCCCAAAAACTCCTACACTCGCTGCCATAGCAACTAACCCACCACAGATATGGGCCATATTTGGACTCCCATCTGTCTGTGGGAAGGGAGGGGGTCCTCGCAAGTGGAAGCAGCCCTTCTCTGCTTGTTTGTGAGCCCTTCTGCCCTTTCCAGTCTTCATTGGGGGTTGGAGTGGATGGCCCTAGTGGTCTCTCTCAACTCTATGGGTCTGTGGGCTGATTGGACGACGGATGGGCCTCGGATCCACACATCCTCCATGAGGAAAGCCCAGGCAAGAGGCGACAGGGATGGTTCAATAGTCCTGGATGGCCGGGAATAACCTCCCAGTCCGAGGGGACGGGAGCGCAGAGCAGTCCGGGGAGAGGCTTTCCCTTTCCCGCCGGCGGAGGGCGCTCTTGCTCCCCCGTTTGGACGCCGCAGTGGGGAGAAACAACCCACGGAAGGAGCCCAGCGCTTTGTGTGAGTGTGGGATTGCGCGCGTATATAACATGAGCTCTTCCCCAACATCCCTCTCCGCCGGAGCTGCTGCCACGCGTCTGGGCGGGATGTAATCTCGAGTGGGAGGGAAGGAAGGAAGGAGCCACGTCTCGGAGGGGAGACCGAGGGGGAGGTGGGCGGGGAAGGGTGTGTGCGTGCGTGTCTTCGGGTCCCTTTGTCCTGCCGAGGGGAGGACAGCTCCGTCGCAGAGCCAGCAGGTAAGTCGCTGCTCTTCCGGAGCATCCTTCCTCCGACTTGGGTCTTGGGTACCAAAGCTGGAGCAGGTCCTTCTGGCAAGGTGGGAAGCAACTGCGCGTGGGACTTGGAGCGGGGCCCACTTCGGGGGTCTTTCCCTCTGCCCATTGAGAGGGCAGGGGTTTGGGGAAAGTGCTGCCTTCATGCCGGGGAGCCCCTCCCAGCCCCTCTGACTCTTTCAAGGGAGATTGGATTCCTCCTGCGCAAGTTTTGGAAACCCTGCCCTTGAATGTTTTCCTCCTTCGCCTTCAGCCACTTGCTCTCTCAGAGGGGAAGCTCTCCCAGTTTAAGACTCTAAATTAGCCGAATAGACACCGAAAGGCAGGCACAGAAGCAAAACAACCCCACGCCTGTCTCGCCCCCTCCCTTCCCTTCCGCACATTGTCCCTTGCCATCACCCACCTCTTCTTCTTCCCCAGTTTTTCTCTCTCTCTCTCTTCTGAACGGGACAAAAAGGCGGTGGCCCTTTGCACACCAGCGTGTTATCTCTTCTTAGCATCCATGCTCGTTGTCATCCCCCCTCTCCATGTCTTTGTAGAGTTCCCTGTGTAGTGAGTCTTTCTATAGCAGAGGAACCAAACTGAGGAGCAGGTTTGGATTTATTTTTTTGTCGTGTCAGGAGCGACTTGAGAAACTGCAAGTCGTTTCTGGTGTGAGAAAATTGGGCATCTGCAAGGACGTTGCCCAGGGGACGCCCGGATGTTTTGATGTTTTTCCATCCTTGTGGGAGGCTTCTCTCATGTCCCCGCATGGGGAGTTGGAGCTGATAGAGGGAGCTTATCTGCTCTCTCAAACCTCTGACCTGTCGATCTCTTGTCTTGCCAGCACAAGAGTTAAACCCACTGCACCCCTGGAGCACCTACAAGGTTTGGTCATCAGAAAGCTCTTCCCAGTTCCCTATATATTTTTCGAATCACTCCTTTTGGACTGCACAAGACAGAGTTGTGCATCTGGGTGATGATGGGGAAAGGGAAGGAGGTTGATGAACTCTTATATACCTTCCTTTCTGGCCGCAACAGGAACTCACTTCAAATGTTTACCTGCAATATATGTGTATGTTGTTGACTTTATCCATGCTGGTTGTTTACAGATGTCACATGCCACGCTGGTCAATTGGCTGGCTTGTTTTCTATATGTTTTTCGAATCACTCATTGTCCAGTGTTGGAAATGAATATCTGAGAGTGGTGGTGGCTTGAAAAGGCTTTGCACAAGTTACTTTTTTGTGCCTTTCTCCAGAGATAATCCCCCAAAGGATGTATTGCATGGATCAGTGTTGTCAAGCATTGGAGATGGGAGGGAAGGTGGAATAGAGATTGGGATCAAGTGGTAGATTTACAGATGATTGGTACTGAGATTCCAATGCACCGTGATTTCATAATCGCAGCATGAAAAGACTTCCAGATTTGCCTGCCGAGATGGAAGAAAGCTTGGGCAGGGATCCAGGAGCGGGTTTGCATATGACATGCTTGTGTGAGCTCAGTGCTGGTACTGAAAACAAATGTCAGGGTAGTACATGTGCCCAGAGGCACGCCGGCCTCTTCATTCTAATGCTTGCTGTTCTGTTGTCTCCCCCAGTTACCCACAAACTCCAGAGCCATTGTTTTGCACCAGGATCCACTTGGTAGCCATGTCTAGGGCACAATTCTGGTAGATCAACAACAAAAACAAAGTAGATTCTGTAGCCCTGAAGTCTGAGCATCCCATCTCAAATTTCATCATAGCGATATAGTGCTAGCTCTACGCAAGCTGCTGTTTCACAGCTCCAGTGCCCATTCCCACCTGACAGATGGGAATAATATTATGCCTTGATCTATCTTCAGTGTTGTTCCATTATTATTGAAGTCATGTCTATAAAACACTACATACTTCCTTTTCTCCTCTCTGTTATTGTTGCTGCTGTTATTTGAAAATGCCAATTAACTGCCTGCAAGTATTTTCCCCATTGTAACAACATACATTGGAGCAGCTGCTTCATACTCCAACTCAGGAAAAACAGTTTTTCCGTCCTTCCCATATCTTTTAATTTATTTTATTTATTATTTATCATATTTATACTCCGCCCTTCTCTCCTCGAAGGGGACTCAGAGCGCAACAATTCAATGCAATAAAAGTGACATATAGTTAAAATAAACAATTACATTAAAACCAAGAAATGAAACATCTAAACATTATACCAACTGTGAAAACCACACAATCCACGATTGTAGTCCAGAGCCATTCCAGTAGTCATTGCACATATTTTGTATCCATTTATTGCACTACAGTTGTTATCTGAAGGCTTGGTCCCAAAGCCATATTTTTGCTTTCTTTCTGAAGGCCAGGAGGGAGGGGGCTGATCTAATATCACTGGGGAGGGAGTTTCACAGCCAGGGGTCACCACTGAGAAGGCCCTGTCTCTCATCCCCACCAAGAGCACCTGCAAAGAAGGTGGCACAGAGACCAGGGCCTCTCTGGTCAATCTTAACCCCTGTGATGGTTCATAGAGGGAAATACGTTTAGACAAGTAAGCTGGACCAGAACTATTTAGGGCTTTATAGGCTAAAGCCAGCACTTTGAATTGTGCTCGGTAGCAGACTGGCATCCAGTGCAGCTTTAACCCCCGCCCCCCCCCCCACAAACAAGCAAGCAGACCTCACAACCTTTGAGAATGCCTGCCATAGATGCAGGTGAAATGTCAGGAGAAAATGCTTCTGGAACATGGCCATACATCCCGGAAAACTCACAACAACCCAAACAAGCAAACCCCCGAACAAGTGTATTCTATGATACACCCCTTGACATACAGAAGGCTTGAGTTTATGTACAACCCATTTTAGGAATCCAATCGTAAATACTTACCAGAGTGTAAATTCTACTGTATGGAATGGGTTTCCACTGAACTGCATGGAAATTGAATGGGATTTTCATTTAATATGGCTGGACTGAATGGACTGTGAGGCTGGGCTTGATGGCCCTTGCAGTATCTTCCTGCTGTATGATTCTAGAGTTCTCTGAACTCTCTTCTAAACTTGTTGTTCATTCATTCAGTCGTTTCCAACTCTTCGTGACCGCATAGACCAGCCCACGCCAGAGCTCCCTGTCAGCTGTCTCCACCCCCAGCTCCTTCAAGGTGAATCCAGTCACTTCAAGGATGCCATCCATCCATCTTGCCCTTAGTCGGCCTCTCTTCCTTTTTCCTTCCATTTTCCCCAGCATAATTCTCACTCTAAGCTTTCCTTTCTTCTCATGATGTGACCAAAGTACTTCATTTTTGCCCCTAATATCCTTCCCTCCAATGAGCAGATGGGCTTTATTTCCTGAAGTATGGACTGGTTGGACCTTCTCGCAGTCCAAGGCACTCTCAGAACTTTCCTCCAACACCACAGTTCAAAAGCATCTATCTTCCTTCGCTCAGCCTTCCCTAAGGTCCAGCTCTCACATCCATAGGTTACTACAGGGGATACCATTGCTTTAACTATGCGGATCTTCATTGCCAGTGTGATGTTTCTACTCTTCCCTGTTTTATCGAGATTGGACATTGCTCTCCTCCCAAGAAGCAAGTGCCTCCTGATTTCCTGGCTGCAGTCCATGTCTTGTTGCCATAATCTTGGATTTTTTTTAATGTTTAGCTGCAACCCAGCTTCTGCGCTTTTTTCTTTCACCTTGATTAGAAGGCTCCTTAGCTCCTCCTCGCTTTTGGCCATCAAAGTGGTGTCATCAGCATATCTAAGGTTGTTAATGTTTCTTCCAGCAATTTTAACCCCAGCCTTTCATTTGTCAAGCCCCACACATCGCATAATGTGTTCTGCATACAAGTTGAATTGGTCGAGTGAGAAGATACAACCCTGCTGTATGCCTTTCCCAATCTTGAACCAGTCTGTTGTTCCTTGGTCAGTTCTTACTGTTGCTACTTGGTCCTTATACAGATTCCTCAGGAGAGAGACAAGGTGTTTTGGTATGCTCTTACCACCAAGAACTTGCCACAATTTATTATGATCCACACAGTCAAAGGCTTTAGAATAATCAATGAAGCAAAAATAGATGAGATGCTCAAGCTCCAGCGCCACAAGAAGGCAGCGATCCTTTGCTGGAACTCTTCTAAACTACAGCTTCTTTATGAGTGAGAGTGCTAACCAATCAGCCCTGAAATAAACTCTATCCTGGGCAGTAGATTGATCTTCTTAGCAGTTTTTAGATTGGGAAATTGAAGCAGAGAGAGACAAAGAGAGAGAGAGAGAGAGAGAGAGGGAGAAAGAGAAAGAGAATGAATGAAAGACTGAATGACTGGGGGCTGAAACAGGACTTAATTTCAAGTCTCTAGTTCCACAAAAAGCTTTGGAAGCTTTTAAACAGAGGCTGGATGGCCATCTGTCAGGGGTGATTTGAATGCAATATTCCTGCTTCTTGGCAGGGGGTTGGACTGGATGGTCCATGAGGTCTCTTCCAACTCTTTGATTCTATGATTCTATGAATAGGGAAGGTTAGAATAAGGAAATGTTTATTTAAAAAATGATTTTTTAAAATTCTCTTAAGCCTAACCTTTGTTCAGGTGTATTAATCTTTATAGCCATGCAGACCAGACTTTTATTTTAAAACCTGACCAAGTACCATGTAAAGGCTAGTTTCACACATGGATATTATGCAAATAACCTCACTTGATTTATCTGTGCTTGGGAAGGGAGGGTATATGCTTTGCATGCAGAAATTCCCTGGTTCGGTCTCTGCCATCTCCAAGTATGGCTGGGAAAGCCTTTTGTTTGAAACTCTGGAAATGTACAGTACTTCTAAATTAGCATGGGCATTTTGAGCTATATGGACCAAGAGGTTCTAATTAATTTCAGGCAGTGGTTCCCATCCTGTGGTCTGCGGACTACTGGTGGTCCACAGACCACAGATTGGGAACCATTGCCTTACATTAATCAGTTTTTGGTGAGCTTTAGATTGGTTTGGCTATTTGGGGTGCTGATTCAGAAAATTGCATTG